CAAATCAGTCTTGGTCATCAGACATTCGAGATGGCCACTTCGGCGTTGAGCCCCGGGAAGCCCGAATGAGAGATAATCTGTTGGATCGCTTCGGCGTAGAACGACGGTGGGCCTGATCAAACCAACCTTGGTCGTGAGATATTCGGTATGGCCGCTTCGGAGTTGGGCCCTAGGAAACCCGTACGAGAGATAGCCTGGTGGACCGCTTTGGCGTTGAACGACGGCGGGCCTGATCAAATCAATCTCGGTAATGCGATATCCGGAATGTCCGCTTCGGCGTTGAGCACCGGGGGATTCATGCAAGGAAGGAACTGCGCAGGAGTGCTTTTGCAATGAGCCCAAATGCAATCCTTTTCACGTTGCACGCCCGGAACCCTGACCCACGCATTATCCAGAAAGACGAAGGTCGTTTAAATTTCTCGGTGCCTAGGACGTATGCCTGGATGGCAGTATTCCCAGTCTCAGGAGCCGGTCGTCAGAGGCCGCAACAGCATCCAAGACGGAGAAAGCGGTATTCATTCTAGCGTTACAAATAATTAAGCCTAGATCAGGATGTATTGACCCTCGCATGGCTGTAAACGTGTGGGGGGCCCCAATAGCCGCTCTTCTGGATACAGGCGCAAACATATCGCTCTTTGGGGATGCTGTATCCGAACTCTGTAAGAAAAGACAAATAAATCCTCGGGTAGCGGGTGTAAACTTAGGGGCAGCGTCGGGATATCCACTACCCGCTGGCGGTGCAGTGATATTACGAATCTCTTTCCACAACATGGAGCGAAGACAGCGCTTTGTGTATCTGGCTTGGCTACCAGTACCTATAATCTTTGGTCGAGAATTCATTGTAACGGAACAACTTACATCAGATTTTCTTCAAAATACGTGCCGACTGGGAATAGAAACTGAACTAACGCCATTTACGAGACGAGAGTACTGCATTCTTGGGATGCGATTTCGTCGAACTTTACGGGGCAGGTCCCTCTGCTCTCAGTCAGTGTCAAAAAAGATGTGGAAAAGTGTCCCGGCAGCAGCTCCCAGAAGCAGCAGCATCTGGGAGCTGCTGCCGGGAGCTGATTCCGGGCTAGGCCTTGGCTCTGACGGCTTCTTCGGGTCTCGGTAATCTCTGCGGATGGTCGTCTTGAGCTGGGGATTGGGCTTGCGCTGCGAGGCATCGGAGGGGACCGCTGCTTGAGTTGCACCCCGCACCTCCGCCAATATGTCACGAATGACTGGCAAAGAGGCGGTTAGTGCAGTAGGAAAATAAAACATTTATTAAGGGCAAACTTGTGTCTAAAATACAAAGAGGTAATGTTAAAGGTCGGCGAAGAAGCACGATCGAGCGCAAGAGCGAAAACTCAAATACCTCGCAAGCTGCGTAAGGTCTTCATACGAGATAGGTATGATTCCGCCCTAGGGGGCCCCAGCAGTGGGAGCAAAACTTTCGAAAAGTTATCCCGAATTGCAACGTGACCTGGTATGACGCAGGAATTAATGAGGTGCACACGTACCAGTACGGCATGTCAGAAGTCAAAACCAGGAGTTGGCCAAGCACCAGGTTTAATGCATTCGGTCGAAAGCAAGTACCTCTGGGAGTGTGTTGCCTGTGGCGCTGTCGGTGCTTTTCTCCGTAGTTCACGCGGCAATCAGTATTTGCTAGTAGCGACGTACCCCTTTACGAAGTAAGTCGAAATGTTGCCCTTGCGCAAGCTTGACACTAGGAAAATCTGGGACTGTCTTCTTGATTCGGGGGGGGGGGGGGGAAGAGAAAGTAACCGTGCTCCCATATTGCACTAGAGCGTGCGTCGCGCCGGTGCGCGGCTCCTTATTTTGCCATACCATGTCCTCATTTGCTCTTAAATTTCTAGTGGCTCGTGCATACCCCCCTACCGCAGCATTAGCGACGCAGCCCCCTCACTGGACCTACTGCGGCCTCATCGGTCCCGTCCGTAACTGCTGACGTCGGTCCCAAAATCAAGCAAGGCCCAGTCCAAGCCGTGCTGGCTCATCTGCGAAGGCACGATCCTCAGTGACCCAGAAGGAAGGCCACCTCAGGACGTCCTGAGCATTCTCCTATTTGGTTTTTGGAAGGGGGGGGGGGGGGAGGGAGAGAGATGTGTGGGGTAGCCTGTTGATCCACAGAGTTCAACGAGGTTGCCCGCATGTAAAATCGTCTCTCGTGCTTTTCACCAGAAGGTGGCAAAGCGCAATCGGCCACGCGAGTGGCGCTCCGCCGCTGATAAAAAGCCGACGCATAACTGTGCTCGGGGCTTTTCGGTTTGCGGCGCGGGCGATGGCAGTCAATAAAGGACGATGTGTTGTTAAACCAAAGCGTTGTGTCATTCTTTGAGACGGGTAGCAGAAAAGTAATTGCTACGAGGCTCAAGGCGTGGAGGCGCCACATACGAGCGAGCAGGTGGCGATGGTCGGCCGGTCATTGTGGCTCAGGTCAGCGTCGGGTTTTCGACGGCTGGCACGTCGACAGGAGCCGGCGGTTGGAATACGCGATGGCCATTTTTTTTTTTAACTGCCTCGGCGATCGAGAGCGAGGCCGGGCGTTTGGCAGTACGGAGCATCTTCCGGAGCTCCTCTGGGACAACGTCTCGGGTGATCTCGCGGACGTCCGACGCACTCGGGCCGAAGTAAAAGCTTGACGACGACGATACATCGATGCCAGGTAGTCGCTAGTAGTGCGAGGCGTTTGCCTGAAGAGCGCGTTCGATATCAGTAGCATTCGTCATGAATTGTGCAACAGTCGCGGGTGAACTGGGCACAAAACACCCAAAAACGTTTTTTTCTGACTTTTTGCATGAGGATTTTCGGTTTTTTCACTTCAAGAGTTTCGAGATCAACCTGGCTGCTTAGTGGCAGCACGTACTCTACGAAGCTGGCGATGTTCTCGTTGAGGCCTTCTACCATTGCCTGGAGCAACTCCTCAGCGCGTTCACGTCGTTGCTGGTTCGAAAATACATTGCGGAGCTGATCCTTGCATGCTTCCGAAGTGGCGATCGTCGCCTCTTTGTTTTCATACCAGCTACGTGCCGTTTCCTCGAGAGAGAAGTAGACATGCTGTAGGCATTGCTCGGCGTCCACCCATTGTGACAGGCAGCTCGCTCGTACTGCAGCGTCCCGTCGTCGATGTCCTCGTAGACGTCGCCATGGAAGGGTGCAGGCGTCCGGGGTGCGACGGGCATAATGACGACGGAGGGTGCGGTGGAAGCCGGCGTCGGCATCGCTTTGTTTTTCTTGCACGTGGAATGAAGTACCCCTCACCTTCACGAGATATGTAACGGATCAAAGCCAAGAGACGTTAAATAATGAACTAGAAATAAGGGTTTAATTGGATAACTTGTGCCAGAACCAAAAGGAAGAACGAACTTCGAGAGAGCAGCAATAAGCGCCGACGGCGGCAGCATCGAGTGGCGATGCGTCGGCGCAACAGCTTGCTATCGCAAGAGAAAATCAGTGTATGACTCGGTAAGAATCCGCACGGCTTCTTATCTACTATGCTCCTTATCTCGAATCTTTTTCCTAGAATGTTCGGGAATGAGCTAGGGCGAAAATGACTAGACAAGGTCCCATTTTGGCTCCCTCCCGTTTATTCTAAAGAGAGGAGGAGGTTTCCTCCTCTCTTCTCCAGCGTTCCGCCTGCTTCCTCCTCCCTGGCATTCCTTTCCCTCGCCCTACCTTCTTGAGTTGCAACGGACTATAGACATGACGCTACACAGTTTTCAGCAATAAAAGTAAAAGGGGACTTTCACGAAAAAGATTTGACGAGGTAATCAAGTGTAGAAAGAAAGGTCAATGCGCTTACATTTTAACGGGTTGCTGAGTTTTCTTTTTAAGCGTTAATTTTTATCAAGTTGGTTCAACACCACTCTATCAATTGAGTGGCATTTGATTATAAAAATACCCTATTGAAAATAACACTTCAACCTGGGATGTTATGATAGATTCTGAGCCCTTGAAACTAAATCAGCGCATAACACCAATCAGCCATTCCTACCCCTTCACCTTTTAAAACCACTTCAGCCCTTCAAACCCCTTTAGCCCTTCAGACTCTTCAGCATTTCAGACCCCCTCAGCTTTTCAACCCTTTAGATGCCCAGATGACTGTGAACCAAAGAACAAAGAGGCAGTTTGAAATGTGGTTGGAAGCTTACTTTAATGGAGCTTGTCCATGCATTTTGAAATGCAGGAAGACAATGAGAACCAACGTGTATTCAAACACGAGAGCAAGCAGGTGAAGACAGGTGTAATCAAAATCAATAGCTGCAACCGAGTTCTTTGCCGTCAAATATAAATTTTCTTTATACCCTCCGAATAAAATCCTGATATGTGCGGTAGTACAACTTCTAAAACCTTGCAAGTGCACCAAACACACACACACACATACGCACGTAGTCACGTACACGCACGTGCACGCACACACACACACACACACACACACACACACACACACACACACACACTGTCAGCGATACGTTCAGCGAAAGCGATATTGACCGCCAGTGAAGAAATCCAAAAGCACGATCACGGTGTCGTCTTTGGAGCCATAGCGATGGCTCCAAAGACGAGCAGTAAAAGGGAACGGCTTCCCCGTGCACGTCTTGTATCCGGCGTTGCGCTGTAGCACAAAGGATATCTTCTCTGTTGCCGGCAACATACAGAAGCCGGAACTAGCCAGAAACTAGACAATGACCGGGAACAATTGTGCCGCCTTGCAATCCGGTGTACGGGCTGCAAGGTGGGAGGACCGTACGCCGACCTTCGACACGACGGCTCTTCGGCGAAGGCGCAACGTTACACTTATGCCAACTGAAGTATTTCTATCCGCGTGATTAGCAGTGCACAAGGTAAAGCATTACGTGAAAAAGATTTTGGTTAGCTTTACTATAATGAACTGTGTCTGCCTGAGCATATGCTTCAGTCCTGCACACTGCATGGAACGTTTGGCATCTTAAACCATGTTTGCGTGACATGCACCGTAGCAGGGAATTTCGTACTTTTTGTACACGCCGCGCTCCTTCATCTCCTCCCGCTCCGCCCACAAGTCATAGAACCAAAACGTGGTCTTGTGTAACCTTGCGTAGTACTCTGCGTATCTTCTTACGGTCTCCGTCAGGTTAAATATAAACTGCGGATCATCTGTAACAGAAAAAAAGAAGTTATTAAAATCTTTTTTTTTTTTTTTTTTTTTTTTTTTTTAGAGCGAAGTTGTATATGAGGTGTGGGGCGGTTTTTTTTTGTGTCCATCGACAAAATAGTAGTCGACAGAGTAGTAGACACAAAACCATCGCGCGCGCCTTATTAGCGTTCGAGCACGCCTTCTCATTTCTCATGTGGTTTTGCCACTTGTTTCAATAAGAAAAACACAAAACAAGTGTCAGAACCACATGATAGATAATGCGCGCGCTAACAATGCGAAGCACGTAGCGCTCCCCGTAAGCGTTTCTCGGTAAAGATAGCGGTTGCATAGGTTGCCGCGGCAACGGAAGGGTCCGAAGTGGGAAGTGACGTCACTAGCCCGGCTAACAATGCAAAGCACGCAGAGCTCGATCCCCGCATGCGTTTAACGGTAAAGATTGCGGTTGCATTAGTTGCCGTGGTGACGGCAGTGTAGAAAGTCTTTCATATTTAAAAAAGTTTGTTACAGTGAGTTTACTTTTCTTTGGTGAATCGTTTGGTATTAAGTCTTTTGCTGTTTATAAACATGAACTGCCACTTCCGTTTCAAGCGGCTTCCGGTCTTATCATCCTTGCAAGCCTCTTGAGCTTGCTTATGCCACCAGTGATAGAAAGCATAAACACTATGCGGACAACAAACTTGGAGGTTTAACCAGGGTATTCACTGTACAATACTACATCTTGGAGGAGGCAAGTTGTTTTACAAACATACTCGAAACATTTTAACAGATCTCGCACTCCTTCGTTATTTTGGCGTTCACCTGGAAAATTGGTGGTTAAACGTCTTATCTACATTGCGAGCAGCGGTATTAAGGTTGCCTTTGTTGATTTTTTTATAAACCGGAAGCTCTCTGGGACGTCAAAGGGTGGAGCACCCCCTGGTGGCGTTTGCCATAGAAAGGGTCTAAAGTGCATTGGGCAATCGTTGCAGGTAATACCACAGCTTGGCTGTTTTTCCTGTTAAGTTATGAGTTTTTTTAAGCTTAGGAAAAAATTACAAGAGGCCCTTTTCACAACCCAATCAAGCAACACTGGCGGTGGCCGTTACTTGGGCACACAGCGTGTGATTGGATCCGAGTCCTCGCCGAACGCTGACGCAGCACTCGTGTGCCATCCCTGTTCCGAGTGAACCGACGACGCAGCTCACTGTGAACACGAAGACGCGAATTTTAAGTCAACTCTTTGTTTCGAGTATTAATGGTTCACGAAGCACTCAGTGACGTCAGCGCGACTGTAGCGCGCCACTACAAAATTTATCGATAGCTTCGTCTCTGTGTAGCCGTTTAGTACTTTGTGTGTGTAATTGTTTAATGTTCACGTTGCTTTCCCCGCCGTCATTGCAACCTCTTCTGTGTGTCTTGTCCTGTCTTTGTGTGATCGTTTAATGTGTAAGCTGCTTCACCACCATCAATGACAATGTACCAACTAGCTCAACTCAAACCAATAATTGCTTCGTTGCTTGGACGAAAATATGAACGTGATTACTGCCGATCCGTGTATGCGCGGCGTGAGTTTACCTGCTTGCGCCGCAGCCATGAGGGATTGCTCAGTAGCTTGAGCCAATTTGAATCTGTGCGTACTGTCGCTCCCTGTATGTGCAGTGCGTATTTATTTGCTTGCTAGGACGACGTCGAGGACGACGCCCTAGAGGACGAAGTTTAAGACGACGTCTAAAACGACCTCTAGGGCGATTTTAAGGGCCACCTCTAGAACGGCCTCTAAGCCGACCTCAAGGACGGCGTCTAGGACGACGTTGAGGACGAAGTTTTAGAGGAGGACGTTAAAGACAACTTCTAGAACGACCTCTAGGGCAATCTTAAGGAAGACCTCTAGGACGACTGTCGTGTTCGTTATGAAAGAAGGAACGAGGACAGGAGTTGCTACAAGCGGGAAGAAGAAAAAGCGAAGAAGGGATAGAATGTAGATGTACATCTCGCACCATGACTAGGCTAATCCACTGTCGGTTCAATTACATACAATACAACATATTGACGCAGCCGACAATGAAGCTGGAAACACTTCCGCCTTTCCTGCTGACTCCCAGCAAGTCTACAATTTCATGGGTAGAGTGGCAAATGCTTTTCGAGACATTCCTAATAGCCAGCGGACCTACCTCCTACTCGGACGACGGAAAACAGGACATCCTACTAAACTGCCTTGGAGTTCAGGGACAGCGAATATTCCGTTCCCTACACACAACCCAAGAGAACTCCCAACCATCTAATTCTGCGGCCAAATGTCTTGCTGCTATAACACGACAGGAGGCGTTACCAACTACTTCCACGGCCAGAACTCTGACCACTCATGCCTTCGACGACACCGTTCCTATGCTGATCGAATTCTTCACGCGGGTTGTGAACAAGATCGTGCAGCGTTATTGCTTCCGGCAAAGGGCTCCGCTGCAAGACGAAACAATAGAAGAGTATGTCGCCTCTCTGCAAAGCCTCTCCAAGACGTGCAAATTTGAAGGACTAACAGAAAAGTTATTTCCCGACCAGTTTGCAGTGAAAGCCTGCACCAATGAAGTGAGGGAGCGGCTTTGCTCGAGCCATAAATAACACTGGACGCTGCATTAGTCATCATCATGAAAGTGAGGTCTAAGCTGCTTACACAAGACAAGTAGGACGCAAGCAATTTTCAGGTTGCGGTTCCCGCAGGATCTACAAGAAAATCTTCGAAGCAAGGTCAGAAATGCTACTGATGTGGATTTTCTGCGCACTTGGCTGACGCTACATCATGTCCTGCTCGCACGAAGACCTGTAAAAAATGCGGCAGATGTGTACATTTTGGCATCTGTATGCAGGATGTCTACTACAACGAAGTCCACGGCTTGCATAAACGTCAAAGAATTGATGAGCATTCAAGGAACTCCAGATATCCTGTACTGCGAGATACTCCTCTACGGCGTTGCAGTTAAGTAACAGATGAACACAGGTTCATCAGTGTCCACTATGCCTGCTGCACTGTGCGATGTGCATTTGTGGCACATCAAGCTGGAACCTTCCAACCTGGAGCTCAGTAATTCCTCCAATGGTCTGATCAAGGTATACAGGATGTTTACAGCTGAAGTATCATTTGGGGCAAGACATAGCTCAGTAACCGTTTATGTCACATCAGGCAACCATTTAGCTATACTAAATGTCCTTAGGGGATTGCAAATGATGCTTCCCATTGAAAAGCATGCGTGTCACCAGCTGCCTTCGAGAGGTCTGCAAAATCCTTATCAATATTAAGAGAGGTTTCCACAACTCTTCGAAGAGGGGATGGGAAACTTGAAAATTTTCATTCACAAAGTCAAGACACGTAGCTTAGTTACACCCATTCAACAGAGACTTCGTCGTCTTCCACTGACAGTACAAGACAAAGTCTCCAAAGTGTTACAAAAGTTAGATGGATGCATCGAGATGATCGATGCATCCATCTAACTGGATGCATCGAAATGATCGATGCATTCATCCCTCTGATGCATCGAGATGATCGATGCATCAGAGGGGTTTTCTCCAATCGTCGTGGCTTAGAAAAAGACGGACGAATTTAGACTCGGCGTCAATTTATGGAAACCAAACCAAACTATCGTCATTTACGGTCATCCACTTTCACGCCCTCAATAAAAGTTTCACCACCTAACAGGAATGAATGAGTACTCCAAGATGGACCTCTCATCGGCCTACCCACAGATGGAGCTAGTGGAGGAGAGCAGAAACATTACAGCGTTTATAACACACGACGGACTCTACTGCTAAAACAAGATTTGCTTTTGCCAAACGTCGGTGGAAGCAGTCTTTCAGATGATGATTTCAACAACGCTGAAGGGATGCCGAGGCACAATTCACTACCTTGACGATATTCTGGTCACAGGGGTACCGCGAAAATACCATGATAACTTTAAGCGAGTCCTATCAGGTTTAGAAAGAAGTGGTTTGAAACTCAACAGACAGAAATGCATAGTTGGGATACCTTAGATATCAATTATCCAAGGAAGGTATCAAACCAGCGGAAGGAACACTAGACTCTATTAGCAAGTCGCCATACCCTGTAGATGCCAAGTACCTACAACCCTTCCTCCGACTGACGTTTTACGAATTGAAGTCCGTTCCACACTATGCAACAGTGTTCAATCCGCTTCGCGCCTTGCTACAAAAAGATAATGTTTTTTTGTGGGTTGCTGAGCAAGCACATGCATTCGAAGAGCTCAAAAACTATGCCACTGTGGCCATATTCGATCCTAAACTTGAAACGATCGTGACAAAAGATGCCTACAGCTACGAACTGCGAGCTGTCCTACAACGACTCCTTTCAAATGGTGTCCGAATAGTGGTGTTTACGTCAAGGAGATTGTCTGAGACGGAGCGAAGGTACTCAGTCGGAGAGCGAAAAGCACGGGCTTGCCTTCGGGCTTGCCAAACGTGGACAATGTTCCTGCTCGGAAGACGCCTTATACTACGTACGAATCACCAGGCCCTTGTGGCTTTACTTTTCACATAAGTATCTGGCAGGCTACCTATCTGCATCGCCTGCTGGTTTGCAAGAGTACTAGAGTGCAGTACCGGCGTCGCGAGGGGAATGTGATTGCAGACGCACTTTTTAGACTTTCTGTTGACACCAAACATGACGAGTCCAGTGATGCCAAGGACGACGAAATACTATGTGCATTTCGAGCCCACCTGCGAAGCGTCAACTTGAATGAGCCCCAGAAGGAGACGTCGAAAGATGCAACAGCGGCAAAGGTTGCTGATAGCATCAGTTCTTTAGATCATCATGAGTTGCAATCAGAACCCACCTTGTTAACCGTCTTCAAACTTCGCGAAAAACTTTCAGTTGTTCAAGGACTTGCTCTATGCGTCCAGAAGATCGTACCTCCGATTACACTTCGTCGTCGGATGAAGGAAATCGCTCATTAATATCATCCTGGGATTGTACGAACAAAACAAAGACTGCGAGATCGCTATGGTGGCCATAAATGGACACTGAGGTCAATGACTAGATCACTAGCTGCAGGGTTAGTCAGCAACATGACAAGACTGCAAAAGCACCCCCGACTCCAATGCAACTAGTGCCTAAAGCCGGGGTCACATTGTTCGCACATCAAACAAAAGACAGTCTTTAAACAGATTCGAACTCGAGTTACCGCGAGATCCGCGCTTCGAACGCCGCATGGCAAAGAGTTCCAGGAGAAACGTGGGCAAGCGGAATTTGAACCACGAATATTGTTACGAATAAAAACATAAACTTGATTAACGAAACTTAAAATGACCGTTTAATGCGGCGAACTTCTGCAGAGAAACATAAAGTAACAAAAACCGTACATACTTTGACGGCGACGGAAAGACGACAGCCTCAAGTAGCCCTACGAAGCTCCTTTTGTAAGCGCATTGGTATCTAGAAGTTTCCGAGCTCGAACAAACAAGATTCTCGAGTCACCTGGAACATTCCAGTCATGCTAACAAAAGAAAGATAAAAAGGACAGGCACTGGAGGGGATCAAACCTGAGCCAGGGGCGTGGGGGTGATGACGTGACGAGGTAATAAACGTCTAAGGCGCAAGCCATTAAGCCTTTTTGTTTATGATTGGTTCAGCGCTGATAGATTACGTGACGAACACCATGACGGTGCGCTTTGACGCTGTCTGATTGGTCCCATCAGCTCGTAGCGTCAACTAAAGCGTGACCTACAAAATGACTTTCCGCAGGATAGGGCAATCCTTTCAACTTTCCTCCTTTCCGTCTCTCTATCTGCTATCTTGACGGTCAGAGAAACCTTTCGTTGCTCCATCCTGGGGCTTGATAAGCCAGGATCAGATTCCAGCTCATCCAGCCCAATCAAAAGAAGTCCCCCTCTAGCAAGAGAGCAGTGAGAGAGGAGGGAATGGGAAAGGTGGTGAGGGGGATTTCCCCACCTTCCGGAAAATGTTTTTGTAGGCTTTAAAGGGCCGACCTACAGAATCGCATTCTTCTGGGAAGAAAACACGTTCCCAGTTTCCTTTTCTCCATTTTCTCTCGCGTTCTTCTCTCCTACTCACCCCATGGGAGAGAGTGTTTGAGCTACTCCCCGCAAAAAAATGGAGGATCACCATCTTTCTTGAATGGAATGGAGGAATTAAGGGAGAGTTTTTTTCCTTTCTGGCTGTTTGTCGGCTTTCAAGGTGAAACAAAGTATAGTCAAATTCACAAATGTGACGTGGACATGACTTACCATGACAACTACCCAGGACAGCTGCGACACGACGGCTGGCAGTATTGGCATTAAACAACAATCTCGGCGGCAAGAACAACACCACGTGCGCGTAAAAATAGTCGGCCCGCGACAAAAATCTCGCGTTGAAGCACACGTGAAGAGGCCGGTTCTGGTACGGCTGTAAGAAAATCTCAGCGGTGGCGTCCGTATATGAATGGAACACTGGCAGACGTCTACCCAAGCCTCCGTCTCCCAAAAACTGTCTCTCTACCGGGTACACCAGGATAACGTGTCGAATCAGAAAAGAATCCCGCCGCATGTGTCTTGTCGCCAAAAGGCGCTCGTTTGTGACGTGCTCAAAGAGAGGCTAATCAGAAGCCCCGAATTTGTCCCGTGGATTTACTCCGCGAGGAAACTCCAATACGGAACCCGGGTAGTACGATTTGCAGCCTCACGTCTTTGCTCGGTGCAGAAAGAGAGGAGGTGTGCGAAAGTGCAAGCAGCTAGGCTCTTAATAGTGCACACTGCAGGTGCTTGAGATATACTCTTCACCCTTTAAGGCCGACGACCAGACTCGAGATTCTGCAAGGCAGAAGATCCGCCTCACCATGGAGGAGGAGGAAACAGGCAACGGTGGACAGGGTAGAAGGGGGAGAGGAGGAAGCGAGAAGAAAAGTGGAAAGCGCGAACTGGTCGTCGGCCTTTAAGCTGGGACTGCACTCCAAGCTACAGGTGTGAGGTTTGAGGCAGCTTGTGTGTCCCTTGTATGCGCGATTAAGTACCTCGTCCTGTCCGAGGCAGAATGTCTCGTGTCATGCGACACACTTCATAAGAAAACACATTATGTGAATGTCTAGGCTATGCTTTTGCGTAGGCTTAGTTGGATTGACTCTCGACATATCGTCAGCCTGCCGCCACCGACCGTTTTTGCGAGTCGAAACCTCTCATTAAATAAGTTGCTTTGCATTGTCGCAAAAACTATATGAACGATCGTCTTATTTTAGCGCTTCGGGAATATGTTTATACCCACACACACAGTAACAATATAGACAGCTTAAGATACGTATTATTATGTATTAAACAAAATATCTCTAAATAAAGAAAACGCCAAACGCACCTGCTCCAACCACCCACTGAAAAAAAAGAAAATAAAAAAGACACAGGTTAGCTACGTCGCAGGTATACGTAAAGAAATACAACAAACCTGAACAAGCGAGTGAACGCGCATTTTCTTAAAATATTGGTGGAACACCTTTACTTTGAGGAACAGGAAAGAAACTCAATACTGGTTTGCTGCGCTTCCGGTGTATCAGTGTATTATGTAGTTACTGGATATGACGGGAATGAATCTCGTGGCCATACCAACCTTGCAAAGCAAGAAAAGTAAGTACCCACCAGTTCAAATGTGCTGCCAGGTATTTCTCGAACCATCCCAGAATAATTATTAACAGTTTTTCGAACGAACTTAGCGTCAACCAACAATTTCGTCTGCAATTACTCGAGTTTGATCACTCTAAACTTTCACAAAGGAAACCTAATTTATTAAACTTTATAATTTTTTTTGTGATGAGGTAAAAATAATGATTACAAAATTATGTTCTTATCAAATCTATATGAAAAAAAAAAAATCCCGGAATAAGAAAATATTAAGGTGTCTGGGAAAATCTAGAAGTGTTTATCTGGTGGTGAAATGTCAATCACTTTCTAAATATGCTGATCAACGTACTCTTATCTCCTACTGTTAGCTAACAGTAGGAGATAAGAGCGCATGCAGACGTCAATGTGCCGAGCTCCGATATAAAGGATAGTTGGTAGTCGCAAAGGCTATTCGAAGCACAAGTTCGTCTGCCTCTTGCACAGGGATTTCTATGATATAAGAATGCCGAGCTCTTATTGGCTGATTGGAAAAAAAAATAGTCGCTAGACCTTAAGGCACCTAGCATAGAGGTCTACCCACTATCCCTTCAATCAAAGCCAATCAGAGCTCGGTTTCACCCTGACGAAATTCCAACTCCTGCGCAGGAAACAGACGACTTGCATTCCGAATAGTCACTGAAACCATGACAAAGGAAGAGAGGAGTTCCACGCAGACGGACGAACAGTCGGAACAGACGGACGGGAAGTGTTTGTTTTTCGGAATTAACGGTGGTAGCGATCGTCGGTCCCTGGTTCAATACCTGAACCAGGCAGATTTTTCCACTCGTGTACAAGTCACCTAGCTGTGTTTGGAGATATATGTTTGTCTTCTGTCCCTCTTGTTCCCCTTCTCCAGAGATTATTATCGTTATTATTGTCCAGCTCGCTTGCACCTTTTCATTAATTGCATTATCATGTTAATCTTAAAACGCAGGCATCCACCCTCATGGGTGTTGGACTCTGCTTCACTCTCGTCAAACTCTTGGTTAGCTCAATTGGTAGAGCGCTCCACTGGAAATGGACACGTCACTGGTTCGATACCAGGACCGTGCGGATCTTTACAGATGCCCACGAGTCACCTAGCTTTGTTAGGAGATATGTGTTTGTCTTTAGTCCCTCTTGTTCCCCTTCTGTAGGGATTATTTTCGCTATTCTTGTCCAACTCGCTTGCACCTTTGCATTAATCGCATTATCATTGTAGCCTTAAAATGCAGGCATTCACCCTCATTCGTCTTGGACTGCTGGCAGCTCTAAAAACTCCTCTGCTCTACTGGCGTCTAACTTCTGGTTAGCTCAGTTGGTATGATCACTCCAATGGAAATTGAGAAATCCCGGACTCGATACCAGGACCAGGCGAATTTTTTCGGTCGCGCACCAGTCACCTAGCTGTGTTTGGAGATTTGTGTTTGTCCCCTTTGTTCCGCTCCTCCAGGGATTTTGAAAGTTATTCTTGTTCAGCTCGCTTGTACCTTTGCATTAATTACAATTCGCGAGAAATAGAAGCTATCATAGTTTATCACTCTCAGAATATCGGTGATCCCCAATCTGCTCTAGAATTCCGCTGTCTTTTTTTAAACTGGGAAAGTTTGAAACAGATGGCCGTTTGACATTCCAAGCTCTGCATTTGCATAAGCATTAAATCAGCGTTTTGTTTATTGTTCAGATTGCCTTGACGTTCCTTGTAATCAATAATCACTGTTGCAGCATATTTTCTTTGTGTCTGGCTGCGCGTGCTCTGCTATACTTTCATTTTATTGATATTGTTTTGTTTCAAGTGAATATCTTGCAAGAATATTTGGTGTCGTGCATACACTATGTGGTTTTGCGCCATTCAGTTACTACTCTGATTTGCTTTTCTAGCGTATGAAGTATGAATATGATCATTTGATTCTCGTGGTTATTTCAACCATAGATATATTGTTTTTCAGATTATCTGTTTTCCATTATTTTATTTTGCTTTCTGACATGGTGTTTTCTCATAGTGTGTATAGCTTCCGATGTGTACATGAGGTTGTTTTTTTTGTTTTTCAAATGCACTTCAGTACTTTACATATTTCTAATTTGCTTAGTTTGTTTTTTAAAGAAACTGTTGCAATTTTTGTTTCTTGTATTCAAATCCGTCTTGTGACATCCTGCGATGAAAATTAGTAGCACTTGTGAAGAAACAAATATATGCGATGTTGTACGATTGCGTATACTAGAAGTACTCACCGCAAAGCTATATCGCAAGCCAAGGTTTAAGTCATTCACTAAAGCAAAACATACCGAGACTCGTTTTTTTTTTTTTTCTTAAGAGACAATTTTTTTTACTCTCTAAAATCGAAGTCTCGCAGCGCACATGGCCAGAAAGCGAGTTGTCGGGGTGCCACGCACCCGCCCCGTTTCTCACGATGCTTCATCACGCAAGAAAACTTTATTTCCCCCATGTATAAAATGCTCACTTTCTTGGTGAAACAGAACTCTTCGCAGCACTGGCTGTGTAAGAAATTTTAATTTTCACAACTTAAAATGAAAGGGTGGCAGTTACGCGGGTGTCTTTTTCCCAGTGTATTTATCAGACTCAAGGGACATTAGTTGAGCGAATGACTGTAATGGTGAGATGGTTAACCAACAAGAATATGCTAATTAACATTTTAGTTATTGGTTTTATTGGTCATACAGGAATTTCATTACTGACAGCAGTTATTATTAGAGGCAGACCAATTTAGAGAACGTTGTGAAAAGGCAACGGTCTTTTAGAATTTCATCGATCAGTTTTCAAAAAGAGCGGCGCAAGCCTCGCCCACTAAGACGCCGAGAATAAGACTGACGTATTCCTTTCAGTCACGCCTTCACCATTCCGGCAATACGTCGTTGGCGCATTCAACGAGGAACACTCTGCCGCAATAATGGCGACGTGATGGAAATGTCGGCGTCACTCCTTTTAACGTCTTTTTTTTTTGGGGGGGGGGGGGGGGGGAGGGAAGGGGGGCAGGGCTTATGGCCTTTTTTTTTTGTCCCGCGTTTTTGGTTTCGCGTCAAGACAACAACGCAAAAATCAATCAATAAATATGGAATAAAAAATGAAAGCCGTTTACAACTCCCTGTAACGCCAAATTAGAGCGCAGCTCTTGAGGAGGAGGAGGGAAGGGTGCTGAGGGTCACGTGTTCTCGGGGGGGGGGGGGGTGTCACGTGACTTTGGGGGGAGCGGGGTCAGGTGACCTCACGGTTACGCCGACGCCGCTCAAGCCGGAAATTGGCGCCTAAGAGCTGCGCTCTAAAAACATTGCCTTTACGCAAGTTCTTTAAATTCGTCTAACCTGTAATGCTATACTTCGTTTCACTTTAGGTTCAGTCGCAGCCGACTCAACCAGCTGATGGCCCCGATCAGACGGCGTCAAGAGTGAGCCATCGTGGTGTTCGTTATATTTGTGCACGAGTTCTATCGTCGCTGAACCAATCATAAGCAGAAAAGGCCTTGTGACTCGCGCTTTGGACTCTGATTGGGTCTATTAGCTCGTAGCGTAGGCTTTGTCTCAACCCACAAAAACAAAAATTAAAAATATAATTAAGAAATCTTTTCTAAGTATCCAAAATACCATCATTGTTTCGTATACCTGTATATAATATGCGCCGAGCCTCACAAATACATCGTGGAGGCGGCACCCGAATAAATCTCATACCCCCCCCCCCCCCTCCATCCCCCCACCCACTTTCTACACAAACAAAAAGTTATTCGAGTTAAAGTTAAACACAGCATATGGTGACAGAGTGAACATTTTTTTATGCTGTACAGCACAATAAATACTTTGCGTCAATAGTGCAACGCTTATGAAACATTAAAGACTGTGTTGCTAAATAACTTGTAGCCATTACCGGCACTTTAGGTGGTCACCTCACTTTTTCAGAGCTTTTTTCGTTTCGTTTCATATAAAACGTTTCACAGACGTAAACAAATGAAAGTTGAGTTACATAAAGCCAACGTTTTTATTATTATCCTGGTTTTTTTTCTCTAAGATTGCTGCATCTAGGTGAAGTGTTGTTTGTTACCTAAAAGTAAAAGATTATTGCACAAACAATAAATATTTATATAGCCACTTATTTCATAAAGGAAGTAGTGCCTATTGTCGAAACAACGCAAAAGAAAAAAGAATATTACTTTAGCGGTTAGAACCGGTTTGAACCGTTCTTTTGACTCACGGGAGCTGAGATGGAAATGGACCGAAATCTCCAAACCCGAACGAAAGAAAAGAATACACAGAAAAAATAAAACACATGAAGGACGAACACAGACACACACAATTCTTTCAATGAGCAACGAACATTTATGAAATGCCCATGACACTACGACTGTGAACTTTAAAGAATTGAAAGAAAGAGAACGAAAAATTAAACGAAAATAAAGAAAACGAAAATGCTCAAATTTAAAATAAAGCTAAATTGCTCAAAAATTGTACAATACCAAATTAAAACGATAGGACATTTATGGAAATTAATTCCTGTATAAGAGGAAATGGAAGAAAACAGGAAATTAACCCGTGAATAAAGGGGAAAAGGAAAAAGAAGCTCTTTGTTCGTCTTTCATGTGTTTTATTCTTTCTGTGTATTATGTAGTTTTCAACGCGCTCTGCTACGTGTACCGAACCAAAGAAATTAAAATTTCGGAATGACGCATTCAATGCGCCTTTGCAACGGTTGGTATGGCAGGTTCCGCCGCTAAGAGGCGGGCGTGTCGTTTCGTTTTTGTTTTTTTACCCTGTTTTTGCAGATTTAAAACTTTTTTTTTGTATTCTTCATTTTTTAGCTCGATAAAAACGCGTTCTTGAAAGAATTGGCGATGAGTTACACAGCGATACGCGTTACTTCGCCTGCACAAGAATATTCTGACGGTTCTTGCCACCACTGCCAATAAAAAAAAAAAAAAAAAGAAGATAAACCGATGTCATCCCCGGCTGCGCGTTCTGAACACACTGTGGCGCCACCGAACATAGAGCAGTTTTTGCGTGATCAAATTAAAAAAAAATGATACGCTAATATTTCGTGGTTACAAGTTGTTTCCTGAGTAGCTTGAATCAATAATGAAGTTGTTAGATGAAAAGCGCAAAGGTTAAATATCGTTGGAGGGTTCCTTTAATGCCCCACCTACAGAATCCTGTTCTGCCTGGACGAAAACTGGTTCCCAGTTTCCTTTACTCCATTCCCCTCTCGCAGACTTCTCTCCACATCTCATCACTGGAGCGGGGCTTTTTAGCCACTCCCCGCAGAAAAGGAATAAGTTGAAAGAATAAAACCCACTTTTGGGACGGACGAAAAAATGTGTCCTCTATTTTTTTTAGTTCTTCAGTTCCCTCTTAAAGGAAGAAGGTCTCCATCTTTTTCGAATGTAAAGGAAGAATTGAGGAAGAGTTTCCTCCTTTTTGACCGCTTTTCGGCCTTTAACACGCTCTACAACTTTTGAATTGGAGAGTTTTTGTAGAAGTCAGTATTTAGAAAGTTGGCTAAATATTTTTTGTTGATTAACCTGTTCGGCGAAATGACTCTCTCAACGGGACTGGAACAATACTGCGTTGATTCTAGATGCGTTGCGTGCACTAGCCTTTTGAGGACGTGGCACAAGTTAGATGAAGCACCCTCTAAAAGTTACGGTAGAACAATAGTTCTTTTTTTCCTGGAAAAAGGGGGGGGGGGGGGGGGTTGGAAGGGAGGGTTTGGATGCACCTTACAAGTGACTGCATTAAATGTTCACTTGATGGTCAAAAAATACATATATATGCTCACCACGAACGAAGCAAGGAGGATCGCCTGTGACACGAACGCTCCCATCTTGGTGATCCACGAAACAAATCCAATTGCAGCCTTCCAACCGGTCGAACACTTCATTCGCTGCGTCTCTGAACATTTCCTCGCGTATGCGAAGAGGCTCCATTTATTGCGGCGGTTCAATTGCACAACTTGCTGAGTGAGTGAGATTGTATTGGAAGCTCTGAATGGCGTTAAACTGCAAAAGATCAGATTTTTTTTTCGGCTCGCTTTTCTTCATGATATTTAGAGTGATATTTAGGCGATGGTATGCGCCGAGAAAGAGAGGGAGAGGAGGAAACGAGAGAGCGCGGGAGGCGTCAGAATGCCGAGCTCTCGTTAAGACTTGCTCCCTTTCTCTCCACTGCCCTCGTCGAACGCGTTCCAGCGCGAAAGCGAAACGCCGGACGCTGGCGTTCCTCGTCCGGCGTACCACTTGGAGCCGACAATCGTCTGCGGTAGCACGCGACTGCCCTCGGCGAGTGATTTTTAGTCCAGAATACTTGGTTCAGCATAGTAAGTCTGCAGGCAACCGTCGGAGATGATGTTATACTTTGTCCAACATACCTAGGGCACTCCGCAGAAGGCGTACTTAGTCCAGCATGCTTAGTCCGCGGGAGATAGTTGGAGGAGGCTTATACTTAGTCTAGCGTATTTAGTCCGCGGGCGACCGTTGGGGGCGAGTCATACTTATTCAAGCATGCGTACTTATACCAACGAGCTTGAGTGGACTTAGAGCGGGAAACCAGCGGTCAAAAATGGCACCCCTCCGGTGGCCGCCATCTTGCCTGTTTGCCACATTAGTGATCACGTGACGTTAAGATGGTTGCGCCCAGAGGTGGGCCAGATCAGATTGGCCAGATCGCGGTCAGCAGATGGGCACTCTGGGGCTGCGTTCGAATCTTAATCGAATGGCGCCGAGTTATTCCGGCCGATCAAGTCACGTGACAAGATAGATGCAGCAACGCTGCACGCGGGTATGTTTTCGAACGCCACGGGTACGAGAACTTCACCGAGGAGTCTGATAGAAGCTGCGTTCGATTTATTTGCACCTCCTGCGCCGGTGCAGAAAAGTGTAGGGCAGTCTACTTCCGGTATATATATTGAGATGCGACCGGAAGTACACCGCCCCACACTTTTCTGCACCGGTGCAGGAGGTGCAGGTAAATCGAATGCAGCTTCTATCTCACTCCTGGGTGAAGTTCCCCTACCCGTTGCGTTCGGAAACCGACCCGCGCCCAGCGTTGCTGCATCTGTCTTGTCACATGACTTGATTCGCCGGAATAACTCGGCGCCATTTGAGTAAGATTCGAACGCAGCCCCAGAGTGCCTAACTGCTAACCGCGATCTGGCAAATCTGATCTGGCCCACGTTTGGGCGCAGCCATCTTAACGTCACGTGAGCACTAATGTGGCAAACAGGCAAGATGGCGGCAACCGGGGGGTGCCATTTCCGCTGCAGGCAGTGGGTTCCGGTTTACCGCTCTAAGGTAAGATTCAAGCTCGTTGACTTATACCCGTCACCTTAGAGGGGTACGGAAAGGAAATTCCAGTGCTCATTTTCTAGCTTAAATGTGTTGCATGTTGCTCCATAAACTCGAAAGTATCAGTCTTTCGTTGAAAAGCACAAGAAAACTAAGCTCAAAGCAAATTAAACTATATTTCAATGTGCATCTGGTGGTTCCCTGCGAAGCTTAGTTGGGAGGTAATCTGGCAACGTTGGGAATCTTGCTACGTAGTTATGAAGTCGCAGGAACCGTTACGTAGCCGCACTACACATCGGAACAGCGCCGCGCTTTGGAAGTATGCTCAACTGTTTAAGTTACCACGGCCTCAATGCGATTCCGAAGCCTTTGCCACCTTTTCCTTTTTGCGAAGGACGCCAAGGAGATGCCAGGATGGACTCGTTGAGGAATGTCGCTGAGTTGTTTCTGTGAATTTTCTGCACAGTTAAAAGCCATTCTGCGCTTTTTAACTTCGAGAAGCTGCCGCGCTTCTGCATGACTAAGAACTGTGGTAATGACTTGGTCAGCAGTAATATGCCGATCCACAAGTTTCCGAACGACGAAAGACTTCGTGCCCTGTGGATCCGGCTCGCACGTCCGTCTTTTCAAACGTGGTCCCGTCGCATGCTGCTCGCTTGTGCGCCGGTCACTTTCGTGATGAGGACTACGAGCGCAGGCCCAGGGTAATGAAGAGCTTGGGTTTGCCGGCTTAAAGAACTTTGACTAAAATGGGGAGTTCTGCCTTGTTTTGTTTTTTTTTGCAAGAAAAAAAGAAACGGACCAGCTCAGCGCCCATCTCGAAAAGCGTCGCAAAGCGGTAAGTAAGAACCTCGTGTTTCATATCCTAAGATCTTGCGAACTAAATTGAAGCATGAGATATTTAGCGCGTCTATTTTTAGATTGTCGGTAGAGATATCGTATGTTCTTCTCTCTTGGGCGTCAGACACCTCTGCTTGATGCCACCAACCTTTTTCGACAAGGGTGCCGACGCGGGTTGGGAGGCCGAATACGAAGCAGCAGTATCATCTGCTTGTACAGGTAGGTTAATTGGCGTTTGGCATCGACATGTGTGCGTGCGTGTGTATTAGTGGCTGGACCAGTGCAATTATTATCCCTTGCGAGCTCAGCGTCTGTCCTGACCCTGCGCTGTGCTGCAGTTTCCTCGTTTTTTTTTTTGTTGTTTTTTTTGGGGGGAGGGGGGGAATCACTTTTGACTGCGCCAGTTTATCGCTTTGTAATCCCAATGTTTAGCTTTGCTGTTACCTTTTCCTAAAGGTAGCGGAAGTGACGATCACGATGATGACGGACCTGACTGGTTAGACGGCGCAACTCTAACCAATCATACGCGTCATTTGCGACATCGTCGCTTCTGTCACCTTTGGGCAACAGGCTGTGTCGGTCGCCGAGTCAAAAAAAAAAAATTAATTGAAAACCTAATTGGAATTTTAATGGTATTAACTGGAACTAATGGAATTTGGTTTGTCCAAATTTGTTCTAAGTGGTAGCATTTTTTCCAGTTTGAAACTCAACCGGTTCCTAATGAATATCAATGAATTCTAATTGTACACCCATCAGGTTCCGATAAACTGATCTGACCAATCGGTTGGGACATGTGTGACGCCGCCACAGGTGTAGTTCACAAGTAGCCGTAGTGAACGAGACGGCTGGTGATCGACACGCGCAAGCTCACAACGGCGTTAACCCTCGTGCAGAAAGACTAAAGCTCCAGCAGTGCTGTCAGGAAGAAGGGGAGAAGGGGGGGGGGGTAGAAAAAATAAATAAATAGAACGACCCACATCTCCGATCTTAACTAAATATTACGTTACAAGAATAGAACATTTAGGTTCGCACCGTTAGGAAGCGACAGGTCCACGCCCGGCGGAGAGAAACAGAGAAGGGGTGACACGTAAAGGTTAACAAAAGCAAAAGTTTAATTGAAACGGAAAATTGTAGCCGCGCACACCAAGAACGAAACACACCTCGAAACATACCCGAAACGTGATGCTACAAGACGCGTGCGGACACAACACTCTCAAAAACCAAACTTCAGGCGTCAACGCCGTGAAGAAACAAACTAGAATAAAAAAAAGCAATACTATAGTCGGTGACAGGTCAAGAACGAAGCGGAAGCTCCCCCCCCCCCCTCATTCCCCTTTAGCAGAGCGAACGCTGGAGAGGAGGTGACCTCCTCTCTTCAACGTTCGCTCTGCTGAAGTGGAAAGTAGTGGGAGGAGCTTCCACTTCGTTCTGGACCTGTCACCGACTATAAATGGCAATTAGTACAACGTCCGAAAACTCGAGAAAACCGCACCCGGGAAACAGAGTTCAGCGGCGCGAAGAAAAACCAGAAAAAATTAGTCTCATCTGTCTGACGCAGAGAAGCCACCGAAGCTTGTCGGGTTGTTGGCGTCCAGATGACGACCGGCCACGTCGATCGGTGAGATGATCTTGAAGGCTCCCACGCACACGCCGCGCACGGCAAACACATACCAGAAAAAGGCAAAAACAAGCCACTACGGTATACTCGCAATGAATGCGTAAACTGGAGCCGCAGCCCACCAACAGACAAAAATAATGACTCAGGAGGCAGCAAGAAGAAGCAGATCTGAGTAACGGCCACTGGCCGCGCACTGCCTTCCCTTTGTTCGATGAACCCCTATATAACCTTTCGCTACAAAAAAAAAAAAAAAAAAAAAAAAAAAAAAAAAAAAAAAAAAACTTCAGTTTAGCTTGGCCGTTTGGATTGAACCGGTTAGCGGAGGTCCTTGACGCATGGCCGGGGTCAACGAGGGATCACCTCGCATACAAACCTTTACAAGAAATATGAAACACGTCAAAAAGCCTGTACGAGTCAAACTAAAGTCGATAAGTCAACAGACTCCGAGGGTCACTGAACAATTACCAAACATAATTTCTAACAAAAAGACCTCACTTCGCTCCTGGAAGTATAAACAAACATGCACAATACGCATCTCTTCCGAACGCAAGAAGGATTGACGGAATAAGCAGAAAAAAAAAATAATCCGAAAAGAGTGAGCAATTGACCCTTCGCGATCTTCCGAACAGATAAGCGCGGTTGCGGCGACCAGCAATAACCAACACAAGAAAAGACAAACGAAACAAAAGAATGAAAGACGTTTACAACTTCCTGTAATGCCAAATTTGAGCGCAGCTCTTGAGGAGGAGGGGGAGGGGAGGGTACGGAGGGGAGGGTATGCCCCTGCTCCCCCTCCGTACCCTTCCGTCCTCCTCTCATGCTTTCCTACCATTTAGCGAGAAATTTCCGCTAAATTTCCAGCTAAATAAACAGAAAATTTAACAACATTTTCCCGCTAAATTTAGCGGGGAAACTGAATTGGTGTTGAGGTCACGTTAGGTCAAATTCCCCGCTAAATTTAGCGGGAAAACGTTTCCGTTAAATTTAGGGAAAAAGATTTTCGGCTAAATTTTACGTGATGTCACATTCATTCATGTGACGTCACACGTGACATCCAGTGTGACGTTAGGAGGGTAAAATTGTTTCGCTAAATTTAGCGGAAAACTTTTTTCGGGTTGAGTGGCGTTACGTGTGACGTTAGGTGACGTCACGTTCATTCACACGACGTCACATTCATTCATGAGACGTCAAATTCACTCGATTTGCCGTAACGTAAAATTTAACGGAAACGCGCGCCTAAGAGCTGCGCTCTAAAATA